TTTTCTCCTGTATTCCTCTTTTGCTGTATGCTCGAGATATGAACAAGAAGAGTTACAATGGCTGGATGATAAAGATGATGAAATCAACATGGTTCAAAATAGGCATTCATCGCTCAGAAGCTGTGATTTTGGCACTGGAAAATGGGTTTATGACCAATCTTACCCACTCTATGATGCTACTTGCCCATATCTTAGTACTGCTGTCACCTGTCGGAAAAATGGACGCCCAGATTCCGATTACGAGAAATGGAAATGGAAGCCCCATGGCTGTGAAATTCCAAGGTAGTTTTATCAGTGATATTACACACATTAAATGCATGTTTTGTGGGCACTTTTATCTGTGAGTTTACACATTAGGATTGAGATATGCAATCTATAAGGACACATTTGGTATGCAGTATGCTGCTCACGACAAAAGGATAAGATTTTAACTTTTTTCTTCCTTAATAATGTCTGGTGCTATTCAATCAAGCATATCAATATCTTTTTGAAAGCAGGTTTATATTATTAAATTGATGAGCATAGAATGTTGCTTAGTGACAAATTGAAGATGAAAATTTGGACGAAATGAATTGGATAATGCAGGTTTGATGCATTGGATTTTCTTGCAAGAATGAGGAGGAAAAGAATAATGCTTGTAGGTGATTCCATAACGAGGAATCAATGGGAGTCTCTTGTATGTTTAATTCAATCAGTTATTCCAACTGCTCGAAAGACGGTAACTTATAACGGTCCTACCATGGCCTTCCAGGCATTGGTAAGTCGATATTTTCATGACTTTTTCTCATAATATGAAATTACCTGTTTAGTAACTTGAGAATTTATTAGCTCCAAATCATGCGGTGACTTGATCATTCCAGGATTATGAGACATCCATTGAGTTTTGTTGGGCTCCTTTCCTAGTTGAATTGAAGAAAGGGCCTGGAAGTAAGAGAATATTGCATCTTGATTTGATAGAAGAAAATGCAAGATATTGGAGAGAAGTTGATGTTCTTGTGTTTGATTCAGCTCATTGGTGGACTCATTCTGAAAAATCGAGCTCGTAAGATTAGTTTTATGATAAAATTCTCTAGATCCTCTGTATTTTATCTGTTTATAAGTGTAGTGATCAGAGTACAACAAGATTGAAAGAAGCATAGATTAAAACTTCCATGGTTTATTATAATAGCTAACTCCTAATTTATTGAGAATAAGATTTAGTTTTTTGTTGTTGTCGTTGAGTCTTCTTGATTCTGTATTGTAGTGTGGTTCTAATAGCCATAAACATAATCTTGAAGATTTGTACTAAACTGCAGGTGGGACTTTCTTATGGAAGGGAACAATGCTTATAAAAATATGAATCCCATGGTTGCTTATGAAAAAGGACTCATGACGTGGGCTAATTGGATAGATTTAAATCTTGATCCTCGGAATACCAGAGTCTTTTTCCGAAGCATGTCGCCTAGTCATAACAGGTAATATTGCATCTTTTACTCCAAATTTAATCAGAGGAACGAAAATATCAATGTTCTTGTTTCCATGAATTGATATGTTTTTTTCTGTCTTTTGTAGAGAAAATGGCTTGAAATGCTACAATCAGAGAGAACCTATAGGCTATTTCAACCGCCCCCATGTCCCTGAACAACTGTTGGTTTTGCAACAGGTGCTGAAAAGAACGGGATTTCCAGTATATTTGCAGGACATTACGACAATGTCAGCTCTTAGACGAGATGGGCATCCTTCTATTTATGCCAGGGCTCTAGGCGAAAAGGCAAAGCGGGAAATGAGAGGCTACAGTTCTGATTGTAGCCATTGGTGTCTCCCTGGTGTGCCGGATACCTGGAATGAGATGTTAAATGCTATGCTTTGAGAATGAAACACCGATGACGTGTTTAATTTACTAGATTGGAAAGGACGGTACTAGATTAAACAAGAAGAACAAGTTATATGCTATCTTGTGCAATAGTGTACATTACTATGTACCAAACATGTCTTGCAGCCGTATTTCGTATATTACAATGGTTACTAGAGAAACCTTTCAAGAGTTATGAAGTAGTAGTATGTAGCAGCAGCTGCTAAGTGTGGGTACCGAGTGTTCTGATGTTGTGATAATGTTGATTGTGATAATAATATGTTTATTCAAGTGACTTAGTGGTTAAAATCGTAGTCTAGATGCTTCTCCAAAAATATTTCTATGATGGTGGATCACTGTATTTTCATGTGAAAATGGCTTGCAACAATTGAGACTTTGTAGGAGTTTCAACATATGTCCAAAATATTGTTGTTAGCTATTCCAGCTTTATTTTTCATATTTTCTCTGAGCATGTTTGATATGTCGTATTAGATATTATCTAGTACTATCCAATCATTTTCAACAAGAGTGAGGGTGGAAGTAAAGTCAAGCTGGACACGAGAATCTCTCTTTTTCAAACCACATTTTCTATTCTGAAAACGAATCACAGTTACTAATAATTTCTCTTTTACAAGATTCACAACATAACGAGTTTGTTCAAATCATCTTGAAGTGGATAATTTTTCTTTAGAATTTCATCAAGAATTTTAACTGCAGAGTGCGATTTTTTGCCATGATTTTGGTAAGAAAAAAATTCATGGAATCAAGAAAAATACCCCTCAAGAAAATTGATTATTCCTTAGGCTTTACAGCTCCACCTTCTGTAAAATGATTGTGTCTTGGACATCTAACATGCCTTTTATTTTTTGGCACTGCACTCTAAAATGATTGTGCTACCTTCTTTTTGACCTTCTAAGGCTGTACTTTTGTATGTTTGGACATAGACCAACTGGCAATATCATTTAATCCACTCCAAGGACCATTGAACTTTTTTGCTTTCTTATTATGCCTTCTCTATCATGTGGAAGTTGTCGAGGTGTACATCGAAAGCATCAGATTGAATGAAGCTATTAGGCAACTGATCAACCTCAGGTGTTACTACACTTTGCATACCGTGTTTTTAGAAACTACAATTTACATATACCTATTTCACATGTTGTAGTGAATTGTTGATTTGGTTCAAAGCCATGTTGTTGATAAGTTCACGTGATACCAAACTAATGGTTTGAGTTTGATTTGGTCATTTTAACTTATAGCACTAATGATAGTTGTTATCCCCCGATTTCGAGGTCTAAAGAGGTTGGGCCACGTGGCAGTACGGTCAACCAAGAGTCAAGAGGAGGGCCAAAGGAAAAGGAGTCCGAGTGAGAAAATGGGCCGAAGTCCTTAACCCAGCAACAGAGGCTCTCACATTAACTAGCCTTGGATTGAAGGACTTCCTCAAAGACGAGACACAACCCAATCCGAGGTTCTTCCAGGTTAATTCGAAGCTCATAAAATCGACGCTGCCTCACACCAGATTCAAAGATCTTTTCGAATTGATTGATGTGACGTCTGCAATAAAGTGTTTGTAATTTTAATCATTGTCAGCCTATCACTAGAACGGCTAACCTTTAGTCAAAACATTAAATGTAATGAATAGACAGTGATGTGAAGTTTCGGCTTAGGGGATGTCGCCACGTGGACTTGATCCGACGATCGCCACGTCGGCTGGAACAGTATAAATACCCACTCTTTGTATAGAAAAAGGGGACTGTGGATTAATGCAAAGAATATACAAAAACATACGCATACAAATACTTGAGATTTTATTGAAATAAAGGGAACTCATCGGAAAGTGCCTCCCACGTTCATTGCAGTTGGATTACCGTTCTTATTCCGATAAAAACGTGCTGGATCCGTACTTGACGTGACGAGAGTGGAGCTCGACATCTGTTGAGTTCATTTTTTGGGGTCAACGGTAGTTTTCTTTAGTCATTTTGTAAAAAATTTCAAATATATTGTATGTGAAATGTAATAATGTGTAGAGTGTCTTGTTAATTTTCGTCAAAATTTATGAAGTTGATAAACTTTCGTCTTGCTTTTCCTTAATGTAGGATAAGCCATGGTGGTTGAAAAGTGAACATTTGCTATATGATTTAGCCCATGTTTGGTAAAGATTCTTCCAAACTCATTTTCAACTACATATTCTCTGATAAAATAATTTTACACATGACTCGTGTCTTTCCTACATTTTAACCACACAATATCCAAAAAAATCACATTTCAAAAAATATATTCTAAAAAAATTTACGTCAAGTAGGCACTTAATCCTCCCCAAATTAAGGCACCTTTTCAAAAATTAAATACTCATGTCTCTTATAAAAATCTATATTGGTTTTTGCTTTATACTTTTATCTTTGTAATCACCTTCAACTTGATTCTTCCTCCTTCCATGTCTGTGTGAATCTAAAAAATTAAGCCCCAGTTTGAAGGCATTCTCTGAAAAAAATCATTTTTCTTAAATTCATCTTTAACTACACATTTTTTCAATAAAATAATTTTACACATAATCAAAAATGTTTCCCTACTTTTAACCACACATTCACCAAAAAAATCACTATTATGAAATCTATTCTTCCCAAAAAAGGGGACTCAAATAGAGCCTAAACGAGAGTGCGTTGGTATATTTTGTCGAAGATAAAATGAAACATAGATCATTTTCTCGTTCCTAAGACAAGATGAGGTGGTTCACGTGGAAGTCTTGTACTTAGGTCTTTCTGCTAACAATTTATAAAAATCTTGCATGCTAGTTAGGCCTTTATATGCACCTGCGGAGCGACTTGAAGATAAATATAAATAAAACTTCTTCTTAATAACTTAAACTTTTATACTTACGATTTAAATGTCTGTTTAAATGATTTTGATTTGGACAAAGCACAAGAACTAGATTTGCAATCTGATAATAGATGTAATAATTTCTCAGTCCCTTGATCAGAAACACCAAAGAAGGGAGAAATGAATAACATCCTTGAAGCAAAACTCCGTACTATGGAAAAAAAAAACACCTAAAAAGTTCTGGATAATGAACAGAACAAACGAAACTAATAATTCTAGAAGAAATACTTGTATTCCATTATGAAAAAGCGGGTGGGGAGAATGGTAAGAATTAAGAGGCCTTTACTCTACCTCAGCTAATAGGGAGAAACTTCTTCTTCAACTTGGCCAATTCCTTATTGTTCAATCCAAAAGCCTTGATCAAGACCTCCTCTTCAATTTCTGATCCAAAAACAGCAGATGGGATTTTCAGCAAACCTGGATTTTGACTATTAAAACTCCCAAGAATTGTGGCCCGCGAGTCTCCAATATTCATCTGAAAGTGTATTAGGCCTTTAGGAAACACCATTACCTCCCCTTTCTCAATCACTTTTGCAAAAACTCGGTTTCTTGAATCAACAAATCCCGAATAAATCTTTCCTTCTAGAACGAAAGCAGTCTCAGTTGCTCGGGGATGATAATGTGGAACGTTAATGCTCCCTGGCTCAAAGTCAGCGCGTACAAACGACATGCCTAATGTGTTCAAACCAGGAAAGACACTAACACTAACTGGAATGGATGAAAATCCAGATTTACTGAATTCTCCTGGGCTTTTTATGCCAGAAAACACGAAATCTTCGACGGTTACTAAGGATGAATTCTTGCAGGAGACAAAAATGGATGAAAACTCGGATCTTGGTATGCAGAAGTCTTGAACTGGATCTGAATCAGAAGCTAAGACTGAATAAATATGAAGGAAAATAACTAACCAAATTGACATATTGAGGGACATCTTTGATCTTTTCGTCTCTGAACCCGCACTAAAAAAGTGTGAATTTTAAAGGGATTTGGGCATAGGGAGATGGAAATACAGATATGTAACAGCTATTTCCACTTAGAAAATGTCTTGTGTTATAATCTTCTTGAAACTAAAAGTCATGAGAAAGATTGTCAGCAACTGAATTTTGTAATAACATTTATTGACCTAAACTTCATCAACAAGTTACTTACTTTCCTAAAAGAATCCAAAAGAATGTTTTTCTATAATTAAGAAAAAGAGGAAGCAGTTGCATATTTATAAATGCAGTTTTGCTTGAGAACAAAGACAGAGGATTAGTCAACACATACGAGTTGTTCATTGCTAATATATATATATATATATAGACACACACATACCATATATACATCATATTTCGTATTGATTTTGGACAAGAAGGCTATTTCCACTTCTCTATGTGGTCGTGCACATGCAAGGAGATATCGCTATAAGCTTATGGAGTTTTATCTTGAACCATGTTTAACCGCTAATACGTGTACGGAGGCTAATATGACCTAGGACAATGTTCTACACGACTCTCCAAAAAGGCAGCTTTTCTTATTTACTTGTGTTTAATTTGTTTTCAATTATATTATTTACACAACTACTATCCAACAAAACTGATTATCGGCCAATTTTTGGTTTTTCTAGAAAGAGGACCGCGGTTCTTTCTTCGAGCAGTTGCTGGATGCATCACGCGATACGGTTTTTTTCTGTTCTTTTCGTGTTTGTAGCCAAAAAAAAAAGAAGCATTATACCCCCGGGCTCCTAAAAATTTCCCCAAGATAAAACTCCTTTTATTAAATACGATGTTAATATCCTTTTGGGGGAAATTTGACTTGAAAGTCTGAGGACACTCTGAAATAGAAAGAAACATTGTTGAATACTCGACCTCAAATTGAACCTGATGGGTCTATGAGAAATTCACACACTCTTTCTTCAGACAGTGAGAAAATAAGTGGACATGTGCAACACATTATGACCTCTATGCACTCGTAAAATCAAAGTGTAGGATATAATTATCAGCGACCACAAACGCAAACTGAAATCATGGCTATGCACATGAGGACTGTTACTTTAGGAAGTGCATTGCGTTCGACTACAGCAACTTTGACATTTGTTCAGTATGTTGCATTTACTTATTTTGTTAAACATAATTTTCAAAAATAGTTCTTTTACTAATAGAATTCTTTTTTTTTTTTCTCTAAAAGTAAGTCTTAAAAATATATAATTTTTTTGAGAAAATTAAATATAACGTTAAAAGTGTGAAGAAATTGTTCTATAAACATACCGAAGATTTTTTTTTCTTTTTTCAAAAAATTAAATAGATTCAAATTTCGAATTTTAAATTTATGCAGCACAATGGCTTTCTGAATTCGATTTGATGGCAACAGACTATGGCCGTAAAAGCAACCATTGCAGCCGTGGAACGCTAGGGGAGCCACTAGCTTGCGAGCTAACAAGCCCACCTTGCAAGCCGGTTCACACGAAAATTGTGATTCGGCTCGTCCACTCTACGGTGAGCTGAATCAGCGAGTGACTCGTTCATATTCTCCTCCTTAATTAGAAGTGTAAATGGGTCATCCAGCCTAATGACATTTTAACTTCATCTTACTTTTCATACAAAAAAGAGTCCCTAATAGACTTGTCCTTGTGGACTATACCATGCCTCGCATTGTTGGCAAATCGAGATGGCAACGCGGGTTTGGATCGGGGATCCCTTTAGCGGGGGATTTTCCCGTCCCATACCTACCTCCTTACCCGTTAGGAATCCCTAATCTCCAGTTACTGTCACATTTATTATTATTACTATTATTATTGTTATTGTTATTGTTATTGTTGTTGTTGTTGTGTTGTAATTAGTGGAATAGAGATGAAGATCGAAACTGGTTAATCAGTGTTTTGTTCTGTACACGAATAGTAGTTGATGAGACCAAAACAAAATAAGCTCGATCAGAGAACTCGAGGAGTACTTTGTTCACTAGGCCATCCTGACGCGATTACCTCCTCGGGTATGCTTCCTCGGGCTTGAGGCCTAATATTTATTCCTCGAGTCCATGACCAGACCTCATGCCATGAAGTCGACTTATTAAAGCTCTCCTTTGCATCAAGGCTTGTTCGTCCCAAAGAAATAGTGTCCAGTTGACAATGTGTTACCTCATCTCGATAGAGCTCTACCACCAGAGTTCTATCTTAATCCAAACACTTGGAAAACCTAAAATCGAGCAAGTTTTAACTTCTAAGGATGTTAGAATTCTTATGTGTTTCAACATTGTAATCCTAATAGAAATGCACTACCTACTTCTATAAATACATCATTCTAATTCATTATCAATGTACGTTTTCACATAATTTTTAACACATCTTTTTACAAATTCTCTCTCTGACTTAAACATCGGAGGGACGACTCGGAGGAACGACTAGGACACACCTCGACGCCTTTGTTTCAGGTATCGAAAGACCTCGTTCGTGCTCATTCTCAATCGTCAAGCTCGAAAGTCAACATGTACGATTTTTGATAGCATCAATAGTAATTATAAATTGCATATGTACTAGTTTATTTATCTGTTCAATTTGATGAATTTTTTTCCTTAATGGGATGTTTCACTTTAAGTAGTTACAATAATAATAATAATAAAAAAATTATTGTTCGATCGACAGTAACAGTGGCGTGTAAATCCTTGGAACTGGAATGGAGTTGGACACTGGAATCTGGACAATGGCATGTATGATCAATTTTTTCAATTACACAACAGTTAACAGGGCAGGTTCGGGACAGGGACCTTGATCCCCATCTCAACCTTGGGTCTAGTTTCTTAGCCCGGTTCCCGCCCTGTTACCAGTTTAAATGGGAAATCCCGTCCCGATAGTGTCGGGTCCCATGGAGATTGGGATTTCTCAGCGCTGTCATCCCTACTAGCCAGAAGATATGAGTCACACATTGCTAGTCTTACTAAAATGCAATACGACTCGTTTAACATCTCTAGTGCTGCCATAGTGCTGACCAAGTGAAAGTGATACGCATATGAAACATCATCTATTGGTCATTGGAAGTGATACACAGTTTTTTTTTTCGTCGTGGGACAGATACATATTAGTTAGTAACACCAATAACACTGTTATTGAGTCCTTACAAAATATATATCGAAACAGGCGATTAAAGTTCTTACAGATGAACAGTTGGTGATACTAGTAGCTAGCATCATCTGTTTCCGGCCTCCGCAGGTAGTAACGCAGGCAATTTATAAGAACCTGCTCGCTCAAATACAAATGAAGATAAATCAGAGGGCGCGACCAAAGTGTCTTACCTTATACCACTGCTACTGCTAGGAACAGTGGCACTAATTTCGTGTCTGATAATAAGAAAATTACTTTTGACAATTACCTGAGACAAGGAACTGTTCAATGCCGCCCCTCTATAACTCACATGAAACTTATCCTTGGCTATCAAACCCTGGACAGTAATGTAAACCGAGTTAGAAAATTTTGTTTATGGTTCTAATAACATCAACCGAGTATGTGTCTATGTGCAAGAGAAAGAGAGAGAGGGAGGGAGGACGTACTTCTGTGTCAATCTCAGCTGACTCAACATTAATATTGACATCTGCTATTATTTTGATAATCTCCATTAGCAGTCCCGGTCGATCTGCTGTCACTATGCAGAGCAAGCTGAAATAGTGATAGATAGGCATGATAATATAGCAGCAATCTACTCTCAAAGATTCCCAAAAAAAATCTTGAATAATATTTTAAATCACCAAATTAAAAGATGATCACAAAACCTGTGCTTCATTTGTGGAATATGGACCAAAAGAATTCTGAAGTGATTGGTTCTTTATCTAATTCTAATTTCAGAGGTTTTCGTTCAAAATACAAATTACATGGTGACAGAATTAGAGATGTTAATTATGTGAAGTTGCATACCTCCTCTTAGGCCCGTCGTCCTTAACTTGTATATGAGTGGCAATATCAATATCGAGCTGCAATTGATAGAACAATCAGTTATAATTTGCAATATTATGTTGAGAAACTACATCATACGGTTTTTTGTACCAAGAAGACACATCTAGATAAAGAACTAGTTTTTAATTGCCAAATCATTTCAGCAGAACTAATGAACCCAACAAACTTGCTACTACTGCTTCACATTTTAGAAGTAATTTTAGAATTAAACAAATAAAAAGTAAGAAAGATACAAAGACCAATAAGCAGCTGCAACTTTAATTCAGAGTTTTGTCATCATCCTTACTAAGTTTCGGATTTCATTTTAAAATATTACGTATTAATTGGTAAGAACAAACTCAATTCAAAGTCCTTGTCAGCCAAAGAAATAAATATGACTGAAATTGGTTCTTAGGAAACACAAATTTTAGAACAAGAAACATAATTTTATAACAACGATGTAAAAATGAATATGTCAAAGAAAACAAGGATTCCTCCTATAATATGAAGAAAGAAAGTTTAAATTNTTCCACGTAATTATTGTAACCGAATCGAAACCGTCGATTCATGTTCAGTTATACCAATAAAATTTAAAAAAAAAAATATATATATATATATATATATATATACACACATCACATTCTTCCAATTAAGAACATGTAAAATCATGCATATAATGTCAAATTCCATGATGCAAAAAATCCAAGATACAGATACTGGAAAGAGAAGACTCGAAACAAAGGGAAATATATTTGCCAATCCATTATTCCTGACAAATCCCAAAAACAATGTAATTCATAATGAGAAATTGAAGAAAAAACAAGCATACAATTTTAGGTTCACCTTTTTTTCCGGTGCTTTTATTCCAAAAGCTTCACCCATAGCAAGTCGCTCACTGGACTCCTAATAAACACAAAATTATGTAAGGTCCAGAAAAAATTAGAAATAGAAGTCTTATGACTGCAAGCAGTGAAAATTACTTGGCTAATTCTACAAATCAAGAAAAAAAAAACGTAAAATAGGACCTCAAATATGGACAGGTATACAATCAGTTAGGTAGACATACTGGATGATACTTGAGAAGGTTGTTGATAATGGTCAAACGGATTCTCTCCAACAGATCAGGATCTTCCACTTTGCGCCCATTTGACCTGATGAAAAATTACTTACTGCATTTAATACAACCATGACAACAAACTACCTTGTTCTCAATAAATTTGAAGTTGGCTATCAATAGGATCACACTAGTTTCTCGTTCAACAGCCCAACACTCAGTACCATAAACCAAATCAGCTCTAATAAATATTCTGACCATGCCTTCTAATCTACATAGAATCCCGTAGTACATTCTATTTCATCCAACCCACTCTAATTCAACGCTTTACATTCTCTTGAAGTTATCCTTGTCAATAATTGAACCTAAATACCTTAAACCATCACCTTTTTGAACAACATAATCCACTATAGTGACTCACTATCATTATTAATTCACCACTATTGCAAGAACATTCCATGTCAAGATATCTAATAGAAATTTCTTCATTCTTGCATTGGATCATACCTTTTTCTAAATGAATAAAAACCATATGTAAACCTGGTTGCTTTTGTCTATAATGGATCTCCTAAGTAGTTAAATGGCTTCCACAGTAGATCTCCTCGACATAGAGCCAAATAAAACATCAAATGATAAACTTCAAGAAGTTAACATGTATCCGAGATACATAACAAACTATTCTTTTAAAAATCGAGGAAATTTCTAAAATAAATTAAAATCAGATGAATAAAACAGAATTTAATTATGTCCTAGGAAAGAAAACAGTATATGTGTAACATCACAAGTGGATGGATAACCAAGGAATTATATTTGTGCACTGCAGAAAAATATGGCCATGAGATTAAACAGAAAGAGTTCTCCATATTCTTTTTCATAGTTCAAACAATAATGCATCATCCAGTTCAAGGATGAGTACGTTGGAAGCTCATTCACACCAATGACAATTTAACTGTTCATCATAAACTCGTATAATTGAATCAAGATACTGGAAAAGACCATCCATATGCTATGAAACAGATTGTATGGCAAAAGGATGATGTAGATGTACTTTCTTTCATGCAGCCAGCCTCATGTCATAAATGACATCTCACAACGTTCTACATAAGTTATAAAGTAACTTGACATCATATTGCTAGACTGTAGTTATGCCATCAACCGATAAACCAATAACAATAGAAACTAGGCAATTGAACAAAATTTCTAGTTCGTTAAGCAAGTCAACAGGTAACTGTAATTTGCAATACTGAAACTTCATCATATGAGCAATGAATGAGTAAAAAACATCATCACTTACGATCCTGTAATAAAAAAATTTGTTTGTGAGACTGAGTTCTCAGTAGTAACTGTTCCCTTCAAGACATCTAGACCTAAATCTTTAAGTGCCTTCATCTGCAGCAACAAATCAACATAGTTGAATAATGTGTTCAATCAGAAGACAAGATATCAAAACAAAGCGATAAGAAAAGATCAGCTAGCAATTCAAGCCTCTATGTAATAGGAGTGAATAACATTAATGTATTTGGTTGGATCAGGAGTGAGGCGAGAGACCAGGGGTCCGGCACAACACGGTTCACTTTACACCTCTAGCTATAAATAATGAAACTTTTGAAAAGGTCCATGACTTTGTCCTCAATGACCAATAAAGATTATCATTTATCAACTAGAGCATGTCTAGTTTCTGATGGCAGTGACCCAGAGAAAGTCAATCAAAAGATCAGCATTTAACAGTGTAAAAGGGGAAATGACAAAACACCAGTCCATGGTCAACATTCCACAACCCAGCACTAAAGGTCACAAACAAAGAGAGAATTTTTATTGAAATGGAAAGGAGCATAAAGTAGTCCACTGGTAGAATTTGCTGATATACTGAAGTATAGACCCTGATTAACAACAGGGTATTTTATTCACTATTTAGATAACAGAATGTGTCCTCAATCGAAAACATATGGATAGCCATGGGGTATGAGGAGTTAAGGAATATAAAAACCAAAATAAGAGTGATGCTAGTCTCCTAACATCCCTACCTCAACAGTTCACATTTTTATTCATTGAACAACGTAAAAGATTTTATCAACATCCACAGAAGCAAAATGAGACGATTCTCTTTACCGTGTCGATGAGAGCACCAAGGCGATCTCCAAAGCTGAGTTGCACAATAGTTGAATCAGGATCAGAATCTTGATCTATCAGAACAATAGGCACTGGAACATAATCAGTGTCCTGCTCAGACTTCTGTAAAAAAAA